CCCTGCCCCTTCCCCTTCCCATCCATAGACTTACCAGCTTGGCACTCTCTACACGTGCCAGAAGAAAAAATCCTGAGATTTGATCTCTCTATCAGGAGATCACGAGTCAGAGTTAATTTGACTTGGAAATCAGGAGTCTCATGATTTTTTCATGAAAGTTGGCATTACTGACACTCTTTAGACTGCCAGTAGGCCTGAAGCTACTTGGTATAGTCCTGACAGTCCATGGCATAAATATGGCAAATGACATAATGAATTGCAAATTCTGAGCAGTCTTGGTATCTCTCAAAAATAGAAAGAGATTTAAAGTGGCCACCTTCAGGCACAATGCCTGATAAGAATGCAGCAATACCTCTCCCATTCCCTCTCCCAGTATTATTCACTTGTTGGCTCAACAGCAGTTTTCAGCTATCAATAAACTGAATTTGCTACCGCTACAAACTGTTGTACAGGTTCAAATTAGATAGCTTGAATGTGTGGAATGCAAATGTATGTAGTGATGTAGGAGGTATGGTATGTAATATGGAATTTTATATGATTTTTAATTAGTTTTCAGGGAGCTTTAAGAGGAAGAGGTACTTTGTATGCAATGGATTCCAATAAAAAGCTTATAAGTACCAGAAATTGTAGCAGAGATGTTGATACCTAGCTTTTATATACCACTTTTTATATGCTGATCTCATTTTTTTTTTTTACGAATGTCTTCCCCCCCCATCCCAAATTCATTTTAAATGCAGGAAAACTAAGGAATGGAGAAAGTAAAACAATCAGTTATATTCTGTTCTAAGTATATGACAATGCTGTGGTATCTTGAGAGCAATGGTTATTTTAATTCTTCTGTATTTCCCTAGTAAGAGGGAAAATATATGGCAATGCTGTGATATCTTGAGAACAGTGGTTAATTTAATTCCTTTATATTTTCCTAGTAAGAAGGAGAACTCAATTTTACATATGTAGAAGAGAACTCTATGAGAATGTATTTTTTATTTTTACAAAAAAGTAAAAATAAAAAGTAAAAGGTTTTCTAGGTTATGGTTGGTAAGTGCTGATTAATGTTGAATTTGGTAACCAGTGATTGTGGATTATCGGTTCCATTTCAAAATTAAATTAAAAAAAGATTGCTTGTTCTAATGACATATTACTTTGCCTGACTTATCAGATTTCCTTCATGCATAAATTTTGTGCATCAAAAATCCAGGACTGTTTATAACTTGTGTATTGTCTCTTTTAGCCTAGATTATATACAGTAGGATTTCCATCTGTAACCCCGAAAGGGAAGAGGAAAAATGAGAAGTATCTAAAAACAGGCCATTCTTCACATCGACAGAATATCCAGAAATCGGAAATCGTGGCTGGCCAAAATAAAATGGGGAAAAAAAATCCCCATAAATTAGCATTCTGTGTTGGAGATCTGCACATGATCAGCCATGCTTTCCGGATAAGTCTGTCTGTTGGTTGTTGCCATGGCTACAAAAAGCCAGTGGAACCCAATGAACTGTCTGCAGCATTGCTGAAAGGATCAGCCATTTTGCTTATGGAAAACAGTGTGACATATTATGCTGTGCTTTACCATGGAATAAACAAAAAATCTATTCAGAGGAAACAGAGGAGAAGATGAGGGAATAATTACTATAGCTGAGAATGCCTACACGCTGCCATCTTGACAAGCTGGTGACGGCTCATTCCCATTAGCTGATCAGGGAAGGTGGAATGCAGAGTGATAATGCTGCATATCTGCTGTCAGGCTGGGGAGTAGGTTTTTTGTCTTGTAAAGGCAAGGTTTCACTGCAATGTTATCTCAACCACTCGCGAGCTGCTCCGAGTGAAAGCTGGTGACCCAAAAGAAGGGTGTTGCCCTCTCCCAACATTGTTCTTGTGCTCTGCTGTTTAATATGAGCAAGCACCACTGTAGAAGCAGGTGTGCGATTCAGATAGGCTCTGTATTGTCGGCTGTACAAACCGCCCTCTCAGGTTTACATGCTTCTCATTAACAGATTGTTGGCTTAGGAGCTTCTGCTTCTGGACTTAGACCAAGAGGCTGCTGTACATCTCTGCTTGTGTGAAAGAGGTAAGCTTTTGTTTGCTTGGTTTCAATTTTATAGAAAATACTTGCATGAAGTTTTGCTCAAAGTAGCATCTCAAATGTATTCCTATTAAAAGTGACTTGTTAATGCTTGTATTTAATGATTTTGATCATATTATGGTTTATTTGTATGCTGTAGTGTAATGTAACAATAAAAATGCTTCCTATTTTGAGAAAAAAAATAGGTAGTGAACAAATCTTATGCACATTTCACATATACACAACAGGGATTTTATGCATCCTGCTATGATTTTATATTGTAAGGATTACATGGGATATCAAACATTATAGAACTGAGAAACATTTTGTTTGTAAAACCTTAAAATCCTTGATTCTCTCAGCATTCAAATACATGCATTGTTCTCTGTCTTAATAATGTAGCTAGATTTAAATTGTCCAACTGCTGTGTGCAGTATGTAGGTCATAATAGAAAGCAGCTTTTGCACTAGGCTTTCTTTATAGAATGTATCCCCCAGCACTGTGTTTGATTAGTTTCTGGTACTTGTACTGTTAGGAGTCTAGGTATTAAAGGCAGCTCACACCTCCTTTTCAAAGATATCGTGCATACCATGCTAACACAGAGCACAACACACCCATTGTGTCCCTCAGTTTGGCATTGAGTAAAAGAAAGGAAGCCAGCACTCCACATGGACAACAAGCACCAGCTATAGTTTAAGACAGCTAAACTTCTATTCTTGCGCACCCTTACCAGCAGCTGGTCCACTAAGAGACAGACAATAAAAAGGCTTAGACAAACGCACAGAAATATTTGAACAGGGTGTTTCTGGTGAATGGCTGTGTGCTAATAATATGGACCATCAGTTCCCAAACGAATTGTCCCTTGATGCACACATGATACATATCCTAATAAAGAATCTCAGAAACGGAGAGCAGTTATGAGGACAGAACTAGGTCAATAAAACCACAGCGCATTGGTGCAGCCAATGATCAGCTAATCTTTAAAATATGTTAAATAATGGCATTTCAGCCCAGAGTTGTTAAGAATGCTCTTACAGAACAACATAATTTCTGACTTAATAAAATAATGAAAAGCTGAAATGCTTTAAATTCTATACACGGACAGTTAAAATTTAAACAGCAATTCAAATTCATTTCTTGCAAACTGCTAATAATATGTTTGCATTCACTTCTAATTCACAGTTGTGTAGGTTTAAATCCTACTGAGCTAACTTGTATGCTTGGACTATAGAAAGGGCATTAGATTAATCAGTAAAAGCCCCACTCCTTAGTTACATTGTTTAACTAGTAACCAGTCAGTATTCTATAGATGGTACTGTAATTGGGAGGCAAAGTCTAAGACCATTTCTAATTTTTTTTTTAAATATGCGCCATAAAGTGAACACGTTGAGCCAGTGCACAGAAAATATGACTTTACATTTGAAATCACTGGCATAGGACCAGAAATTGCTTTAGCTTCCTCCTTCAAATCACTCCCTCAAAAAGCCATATCTTCCCTGAATCAGGTCTGCTTGTTTCCTTACCAGTCATCCTCCCTTAGGCTCTGTCTCTTATCTGTTCTGTTTCCATATTTAGCCTAGTAGGTGTTGTGCAGGTAAGTTTGTGTGTGGGTGTGATTAACTTCTGCTACAAAAAGAATGGGTGGAGCTAAAACTTGAAAAATGCATTAACATTCTTCAGGTAAAACCACTAAAAACAATTTGAACTTCTACTTTATAATGGAAATGCTAAGTATTCATAAGCAATAAAATCCAAAACATAATGCACTTTTAAGTCACAGGTAGACTGGGCTCCTACTGTCAAGAAGTACAGGCAAAATACTAAGAAAAAATAAGGGTGGTTGTAAAGATATCTCATACAAGCAAAAATGAAAGGTGCTTATATGAAAAAATGATAGAGAATAGTGAGTTCTGTATTTTGTTAGATTTTTTTTTACTACTTTTCCTTGCCTCTCTGCTCATGCCAATTCCCAGCTTTGCTTCTAGTGCTCTTAACATCCTTCATTGCTGACCTTCATTCCTCTCCAACACATACATGAGCAGTTCATAGACAGATAAACAGATGACTTTAAGTGCCTTGTAGATGCTGCTGAATAGTTAGGTTTTCAAGAAGAATTTAAATGTGTAGGAGGAAAAAAAGCCATTTGGAGAAATGCAATGGAAGCCAAATTTTATGTTGTACAAATATAAACTGAAGATGGAATCTAATTTTTAATAGAAACATAAAAGGGGGGGGAGGGGAGGAGGAGGGGGATGCTTTGCCTGACCTGCTAAGGTGTATCTAAAAAGGAATCTATAGAAGAATTTGAAGATAATTTAATGTATAAAGAAAACTGATAGATACAAAAAGGTATAAGTCCACCTATAAAAAAGGGACATTTTACCTCAGTTGAAATCACGAAATTTTGCCATGGAATTCAGTGGCAAGATTTCACCTAAGGCATGCTAATACTTCAGATATCTGTACATTATGGAATGCAGCAAGTGTGGAGGTGGGGGGAAACCTTGTAGAATAGGGTTAGCATTGCACTCCTCTCTCTCTATGACAGTGGTTCTCAGCCTTTTCAGACTTAAGACACTCCTCATTAGACTCAAAACACCCTATGAAAAATGCCTGCAGTAGTGTAATTATCTGTATTATCTGCAGTAGTGTAAAGCACAGGAACCACAATATTTTTTTCTGAATACATGCACTCTCAAAAATGACCCAGAGCTTGTTCTAAGGAGATTCAGTCAGCAGGTCCCTATGTTGTTATTTGTTTAGTGAGATTCATGTGGTCAAAAAGTACATAGTAAAACAAATCAAAAGGACCTCACCATGAAGAATCCAAGCCCAAACATTTGATGCCTTTGCCATAACTGTCAAAGAGTGGCTAAAAGTACTTTGTAAAAGATGGTGGGTAAGGATTGGGTGGCATACAGGAGCAAGGTGAAGTACTAGTATGCATGACGATTGAGTAACAGTAAATGCCAGATTCCAGAGGTGGATTAATGAGCAGGCACACAAGGCCCAGGCTCAGGACTCCCTGAAGCAGAAGGCCCCACTAATTACAAGATAAACCCTAAGGTCTCAAATAGGAAACTGCAGTGTCAAGGGTGTTCTGACTTGTAGTGGTGTTTCTGAGTTTGCAGCAGGATAACCCTTCCATTATTTTTCTGTAGTCAAAAAAAGGAGTGCAAGCTAAGAGCTGGCATTTTTCATAGGGTGTTTTGAGTCTAATGCGGGGTGCCTTAAGTCTGAAAAGGTTGAGAACCACTGTCATAGAGAGAGGAGTGCAATGCTAACCCAATTCTACAAGGGTTCCACTCCCCCCCCCCTTACATTTCTGCCTTTTAACTATGTAACCAAATATGAAATATTGACAGTATTCTCAATATTATATTATGGGTGGTGGTGAAGGCAGTTGTTTTGGGCCTCATGCTTTTTGGGCCAGGGTCACCAAGAATTTTTGGGGGCCTGCAGAGATAAGATGTCATACTATGCAATTACACTCCTACCCTGAAAGACCTTCCTGTACCATCTAAAATAGTAAGAAAGACAAATCAGCTATGAGGTAGTGCCTAAGTAGGCAAATGATATCAAATTTGATAACTGACTCATTTCTGAATAATGGTAAAATAATAATTTTGCCTGCATAATAATACTGGAATATACCTTGCATATTATAATATCACATATTTTACATTGGTACTTTACTTGAGGATCTGTAGTGTGGCAGTTGCTGTGTGTTAAGGAATGTGCAGATTTTTTTTCTTGCATCCTACTGTATAGCTATATATTTTTTCCAATTTCATTATTTCAGTTTTGCTTAAGTACCTTACTCATGGCCTGCTGCTGTGTTTCTCTCTGAGTTGCTTATATATAAACACAACGTACACATATATGACTCTTTGCCACATTACATGGCATGATAACCTGTGCAACCTACTGATTCTGTAGATCCTCATCCTTTGTTCCATCTACTATAAATGTTGCCCAGGTATGTAGCTTTTCTATTCAAAACACTATAAAAATAGTGCAGTACTAGAATTGTTCAAAAAAGTGTATTGAGAACTGAAAAATTGTGTAGTACTAGAATTGTGCAAAAAAGTATAATGAGAGCTGAAAAATTGTCAAACTTCCCTGAAAAGTTTTCACAGATTCACAGAAGTTTAGGGCTGGAAAGGACCTCATGAGATCATCGGGTCCAGCCCCCCTGCTCTGGGCAGGAAAGACTGCTGAGGTCAAATAACCCCAGCAAGGTGTGCAAACAGTTTACTTTTGCAGATCTCCAGGGTTGGTGCCTATATCACCCCCGCTAGGAGTCTGTTCCAGGGTCTGGACACAGTTCATGATGACGCAAAGTAAAATGCACAAGACTCTTTAAAAAAGGGCAAGTATATGATACAAAATGTTATGGAGTACATAAATGGGGACACCATAAGATAATCATAAAGATAAGTAAGATCACTAAAATGCTGAGCAAAGTAACTTAAAAGAGAATTTCTGAATAATGGTATTCATGAACTACAGTGTAACCGTGCTCTATTGTGTGTGAGAGCTCTGACATACAGTATCTCTACCCTCACCCCTACCCCTACCGGTACCTTTTGTTACATTCACATGTGTTGAGCCATGATGACCAACAACATTTCACAACCAATGCTGCTCTGAAGGACTTTCCAAAACAAAATGGAGCCCTTTCCTTCTGTTTCCAGTTCCTCACTCTAATTGGATTCTTGTTTTGTTGTGTATTCTGCGCTGTTCTTTCATTGTGCCTTGATTCATCCACCCTTAAACTCATCACCCTCACTCAGCCCCAGGGCTTGCCCTGAAGAGCACAGACCTAATTATAGTTGATGGACTGGGCTGTTCTCTTGATGACTGGCTGTTTTTTAGAACTGATATGAAGGCTCCTGGAGCTTAAAATTTTTGTTACCACTTTAAACAAAAAAAAAAGTCTTTCACTTTACAGTTATTTTGGATAAGTAATGTTGTTTATTTTGGTAAGAACTTACAATTTTCCA